ATCATCCGCCATCACGGACTCAATTTCCACTGCTGCGCTGATGACACCCAATTGTATCTCAGCACTACTCCATCCTCCCAGCTCCCCCCTCAGTCTCTCGTCAACTGCCTGCACGACATAAAAACCTGGATGTCGTCCAACTATCTCAAACTCAACTGCAGGAAAACAGAGCTCATGGTTGTGGCACCCAAGGCGCTGCTCCGGAAGGTCGGTGACTTCATCCTTGAGGTTGACGGCTGCTCCATCTCCCCATCCCTTGAAGCCCGCAACCTGGGTGTCATCCTTGACTCCACCCTCTCCTTCCACTCCCACGTCAAGTCTGTTACCAAATCGGCCTTTTTCCATCTAAGGAACATTGCCAGACTCCGACCGTCACTCTCGGAGTTGGTTTGCCGAAACCCTAGTCCATGCGTTTGTCACCTCCCGCTTGGACTACTGCAATGGTCTCCTGTTTGGGGTCCCCAACAAAACCCCGGATAGGCTCCAGTATGTCCAAAACTGTGCTGCTAGGGTACTCACACATACAAAGCCGTGGCAGCACATCACTCCCACCCTCATCCACCTCCACTGGCTGCCGGTCAAGTCCCGCATAACATACAACATCCTCCTCCTTACCTACAAGTCCCTCCATGCCCAGGCCCCCCCAGTACCTATCGGACATCCTTCACCCACATGCCCCACCCCGGAACCTGCGGTCTTCAGACTCTGGCCTGCTTACCACCCCCCGCACCAAACTGCGAACCTTCGGGGACAGAGTCTTCAGTGTGGCAGCCCCCACCCCTCCGCAACATCCCCACGCTTGACGCCTTCAAAAGCGTCCTACAATATTGGCTGATAAAATGTAGGAGATAAAAGTTTAATAAAATTACAGTAACTGAATAAATATGGTCATTCTACCACTGCTGATGCTCCTAAATTAAACACATCCATTGTTAATGTTATTTAAAGTGTCCATCACATGTGTTCATTCATTCATATTCATCAGCACATTCAAACTACAAAATAAAAACATTACTAGTGGCTCATTTGTATTTGGGTGCTTTAGTTAACTAGTGTGTACGGGAACACCTGAATGCATCACAGCCATTAATTAATGTAACTCTCTGTGTTCAGTGCAATGTCAAGAATAAACATTTAAAATAACTTATACATGTAGTTTATGATTATGTGATTATTGTTTTGTTACTGGAGTTTCCCACAGGAGGGCAGCAGACTTTTGTCTACACCGGAAGTGACGCACACTGCAGTCCTTATGGTGCCTTCCAGGACTGTAGGACTTTATATTTGTTTAACTTTTTGTGCTATCCATTTGGTTTTAAAGGACAAGGTGAGTGTTCATATTTTACTCAGGACAATAAGGACTGTATACAGCTTGATTTAATACTTATTATAAACACATCTACAACAAGTTCAGCATTGTTTAAGGACAATTAAAATGAAAACGTATGAACTGAGAATAAAACTCCTCTATGTGTTATCTTTAATGCTGCTATCTGTTAAGTTAAACAAAAAAAATTCTACATATTTACTCTGTATAGGTTGTTCATTGTGTTTTAACTAATTAAATATATTATTAACCCAACCTGGCAGTTATATCTTGATGTAAAATTGTTTCGTTTTATGAAATATTGAATAAAGAGTTCTTTATGTATTCATTTGTGAGTTAATTAGACCTCTTAAATGTTGAAAATGCACCAGAATGAGGAGTATTATTGGGTTCAAAAGGTTCAAAACAAACCTTTTGATTAAACGTGGGACCTTTCTTGTAGAGCTCAATATTCCGAGCTCAGGCTGGGGACTTGAACGCATCACCAGCAGCTCTCAGTGGAGCCGGGATCACAAACGGGCATGTTCACATTTAATTTACTGCAATAAAGTGAGTATTTATACACATTACCTTTAAGCTACGTGTGCGAGAAGGTAGCAGCTCGGTGTCTGTAACGCTAAAGAAACTAATAAGGTTAGAAAGTTATATTTATTTACAAGTGAATGCAAACTTAAAGTTAGTTACAAGCTATATAATGCAGTCTAATTGGTATAGAGGTTGACTGTGATGCAACACTAAACGTGCTGCCAAGATGTACCGGCTTTAGCCCAAGCGTCACTGAACGTAACACCGAAGCTCGTTCAGAAATGTAACAATTTAAAGTGTTCTTGGTTGTTTTTAAATACACGTGTCTTTCACCTCTTCGTTTTTAGTTTCCCTTAGATGATTTAAATATTGTCCTTCATTCGGCATTGACACATTTCACTGAGAAGCACGTCGTTTATTTAAAAACATAACTTTGCATTTTAATTATGGCAAAAGCTACTAGTTTATTATTTGGACAAAATGTACTCAAATTAAAACGTTTCCTTTCGGTCTCAGAAAGCATACGCATGTTTAAAGTATTTGTTTGAGTAGCTTACTAGTAACTGAAAGAAACTTCTTAATCTAATTGGTAAACCCTAATTGACGAAATAAGGGAACGTATTAGCAGGGTCGCTTGATTTGAGTCACATTGCCTGCCTGACAGTGGGCGGGGTTAGTGGGTAAAACTAATGTCTCCTTTTTAAACATTTTCTTTCTTCAGAGGGAGAATGGCGGCACTGTGGAAATCCTACCAGGTGTTGATGACCAAATACCCCTGGAGTGTGCAGATAGTGACTGCTGGTAGGGAATAACCCCTCCTTTCGTACATGCTGATAACATGCATATCCAAAAACTCCAATTAACAGAGGTGGACGAAGTACTCAAGTCAAACGTTGCAATACTACGGTGTAAAAATACTGTCACAGTCAAGCATTCAAAGTCTTATTCAAGTTCAATTAAAAAGGGATTATAACGAAAAGGTTTTTTTGATTCAAAGGTGCATAAAAACTCTTTATTTACCAGTTTGAGTATAAATGAAATGTGTGTAAGGAGAGGAGGCTTCACTTTTCATGACCTTTGCTCCAGTTTACTTTGCCCCTCAGAATCAACAAAGGACAGAGACCTTTGAACTGAAATGTAGTTTTTTTTATGCTTTATATTAATGCTAGCGTTGAGAGAAATAGACTAAGTACTGAGAATGCAACAGAAATAATCAAGTCAACTTATAAAATCACAATTGTAAAAATACAACACCCTTGTTCGAGTTTAGTTGATAATATTTGAGGACTTTATAGCGTATTTCTTCCTCAAAAACTATTGGGTAAGGCCAAAAATATCTGTTTTTTAATGTGCTTCCCTTTAACCCTGCTG